GGGGTGAAGTTATGAATTTCCGGTCAGACACACACACACAACCGCTTAGCCGATTATATATAGTAGGATATTACACCGATTTCGCGAGAGGGCTCTCGGTGCCCTTAATTTTTACGAGTACTGCTTGGAATGTTCCGCAAGTCATGCTAGACCAAGGATTGGCCAGAAGATAGGCGAGGGCACGCTCTCTCAAACCACAGTGCAACGGCGCTTCACTCTGCTCAGCGTTGACTTTTTTTATTTGAAAATAACCCACACTCCAACCACCCTGTGACTGACAATCACGATGCTCTATCTGACGCGTTGAAAAGGGATCTGGATAGAGTATCGATCATTTGCTAGAGCGATTCCGATGCGACAAGGAGACAGCACTGTGGCATCTCCAAAGACTTGTGAAGATCCGAAAATGTAGAGTTTGGTCCCCACGTGCCTTGAGCCCGATTCAGCTCCAAACACGATCTGACACCGTTATGTTCAAGTCGACTTACTAGGGATTCTACGATTGACCATCCATCACATTTGCCGAAGATGAGGAGTGGGTACAGTTTGCTAACAAATGAACAAGCGGCGGTAGTCCAGCTCAAACGCTTCGGGAGATCTTACTGCTTAAGTTCAACCTCGTCCAAGTAGGGCCTTCTCGGATTTTTGGTGGAACACGAGGAGGAGTTAAGCTCTGGAAACCCCTCCGTGTAGATGTCGCAGTCAACGCGAAAGTCAACTATCCACAGCTCGAATTGCAACGCTTTTAATACGAAAGAAAAACAAGGCAAAGTTTGCTTTTGTATGACACCGTTGAACCACCTCTTGCTAAGAAAATTCCAGGAAAGTTTTGAGACTCGAGGACGGAGATATATAAACTATGATAGTGGACGTAACCCAATCATATCTTTACAAAAGTGTAGAGAGCAACTTACTTGTGGTCTTAATGTCACGTAGAAGATGAAAAATTTAGGAAAGCTGACAAGCGCTTGCCGCTGAGCTCCCGGCTTGAGACGCTCACCCGTTCATCTTTTCTGTTTAATAAAGATAACCCACTTCCCAAAAGAATCATGACATGTAGAAGGTTCCTAGCAGTAGCTGACGAATCTCCGCTGAACAGCTAGATCTAGCACACCCTGCAACGCCAACTGCAAAAGCTGACATACTAGTCTTTTGCTGCTGACGTCCTGCACAACGGACTTCTTGCCCATCCACCTAAACTTTCCCACCGTCTGGAGCAGGGTCAAGCGAGGCGTCGAGGAAAATTTGGAAATACGACCCCCCCCCCCTCCCTCTGCCGAAGGCCGAAGTCCATGAAACAACCCTCTTCAAAAGCCGAACTATGAAAAAGTTGTTTAATTCTCCACCAAAACTGCTCATAAAAAAGCCCTGCTACCCCACCGTCCACAAAAAATTCGTTTAAGAAGTACAAAAGTGAAAAAGTCAAAGAATGATCATTAATGACCAAACGAGCAAACGAGAAACGGAGCAAAAAACGACAAACTAGTCACTAAAAATGGCATACTATGACAACATCTCTTCTTTATTTATTTCCTCCACAAGACTTACCAAATTCTAGTACTACACAGATTATGGTTCTCAATTTACACGTCCCCCTTTCGCTCAAAGGAAGCCTTGTAAAAGCCGGCGTTGACCGTGGAGCAGCTTATTTACTATTGAAATTTGAACAAATATTCAAATGATTATAACTTTCTTCAAAGTTAACGAATTTTCAATCTGAAAGCAGATTTGGGAGTTTTGTGAAGAGCTTTTTCTAATCAGTACTGAAATTACAGGAAGTTATAAGAAATAACAAATTTAGATCAATTAACGAGGAAAATTCGAGATGAGCACGAGTTTTTACACTTTCCGAAGCAATAACTTGCTTCATTTCCGTCAAATTCAAAAAGTTGATACGTCATACAAAACTAGAAGATTTTCTCTATCAAACGGTTCGCTAAAGCAGCTTCATACGTCCAGTACTCAAAAAATGGCCACGTTGAGGATTTTTGCAAAATTAACGAGGAAAATTCGTGATGAGTGCGAGTTTTTACGCTTTCCAAAGCCATAACTCCGTTCAAACTCATGCAATCTGGAAAGTTAATACGTCATCATAAACTAGAAGATTTGCTCTTTCTATGGCAACTAAAACTGCTAAATACGTTCACTATTTAAAAAATGGCCACGTTGAGGATTTTTGCCCGAGTACCGCCGAAAGGTACTTTTTCGCTACATTAGCACTATTTCAACGACTATAGCTCCTTTCAGGGCGATTACATACTGAAGTAGGAGCAGATTCAAAATCCTCGTGCTTTTCTCTCCAAAAAGTGTAAAATTGTTTAGCGGGTCTCAACTTTAAAGGTTACATGCTTGTGAATTTGACGCTGAAGGCTGCGTTTCTTGTTGAATAGTGTACTCCTCTCTGTAATTTAACATGAACTCTTTCAGAACCCTCTTGATTCTTCCTGAATTAAGATTCGTTATCAAGATAGCCGTAGCTGAAGCGCGCGCAACCAACTGGGCCCACTCTGGGATGCGCCGTGTGCTTCACATCTCGTTGGATTTGAGGACCTACTTGAAAGATAAAATATCCCTAGGAAACGTGCGAATTTCGGATTCTTTGAAAGCGGCTTGAACTCTATACGAAGTTATTACGCGATTCGCGATCATCAAAAACGGAGTAGTCTCGCAGCTTGAGGTTCAAAATCTTCTCTGGACGGGCACCGAGTGTTAATGTCGAACTCTGAACAATCGCCTAGAACCGATTCACACGTAACAAGATTGAAACAGGCACGACGAGAATCAGCTCAGCAGTCGCTGAGTGGATGCACGCTCGCGATAAGCTTCAACGTAGCACCGTTGCAGCATCCCTTCTTGCGCATCTTTGAGCTGGGCGATTTCATTCTAAGACACGACAGCGCTCACTCCCACATCGCTAAAATTACGAGGTCCCTCTTTTCGAACCAGCGCCCTTCATTTGGAAAGTCCTACCGCATCCAGCACAACTTCTCAATTAAGCCTGACCGAATTTCATATTTTCTTGTCGTTATCTAACGCTCTGAGCGGTGTCTCGTTTAAGAACATCTTGGGTCTAAATGTTTGGCTTGACGATTTTTTCGAGACTCGGCCTCGACCGAACAACCTAAACGTTTCTACCGCCGATTTTCTAATCAAGAAATATGTTGATCATGGTCGTGTGAACATTGACGGAGAGTACATCATTGAATGATCCTGTTACTTTTTCACGAGAAAAATGATTCATGAAGTGAAGTCAATTAGACAGCCAATAAGGTGGAACTAAAAGTGGAGCTATTTCGCAAAGAAAATCACTACTGGCATAGATTCGAGTAGAGCAAACGAAGAAATGCTCTCGAAAGATATGTAGAGTAGCGTCAGTAGTAAGGAAGTGGGAGGAGGAACTTTAGTCTGAACCCATGGATTGACAGGCAATCACCGAGATACACTTGAAAAACCACATCTCAAAAAAAATCCGGTCCCAAATTACAACCAGAGATCCGGAATGCTTAGTAGAAAACCTGACCTTAGTGCTAATTACACCACTGAATGAATTTTTCAAGAAAATATGAGGTTTGAGCCAACTAACGGTTTGTCGAAGGACCTCCCGCATGTCTGAAATTCAAATGATTTACAATAACGATAGAACACAATTAGCACATGCTCCCTTTCAAAGCAAGATAATTTCTCGTAGTCGAATGATACATGAATCGTTACAAAAAATGCGGAGTTTTATACAGACAACTTTCGTCTGAAAAAAGACACTACTTATGGGACAACCCAGTGCATCACTTTCTAACATCCAGAGCTATTGTTCTCTCTTTTTTGGCAAAAATATATAATAGGATAATAATGGCTTTTACTTTGATCAAAATATTGTTCAAAGCGCGACATACTCTTTCCGTAATGGAGTCATGACTGAATCTAGGGCGAAATTTTCCGTATAAATCCAAGCTTACAAGCTCCATTCTCTTCGATACAATGCACGTTACCGGTACAGTTGTTAGAAGTGCTGGAGTCTGGACGCCGTAACCCCGGCGAGTGTAATTCCGTCATGATGATGGATTTCAGAATTTCTCT